CTATCTATCTATCTATCTATCTACCTACCTATCTATCTATCTATATCTATCTATATCTTGACTTGTTATCCTTTAACAGTTATATTTTGTGTGAATATTTTCTCTCATTCAATAGGATGTCCTTTACATTGTAATGTATTTTCTTTCATTAAATTTTGATATTATAAAATATCAAAGATATTTTAATTTGAAGCAACACACTTGTTTTAGGTTTAGTTACCTGCCACAGGAGGGTCAGAAAAAAATCTTTATTGCTAATATCACAGAACCTATCACCCATGTTTTCTTCTGTATCTTTTATTATTACAGGGCTTTTATCTAAATATTTAGTCCACTTGGAGTTTACTTTTGTGTATGGGATTAGTAAGTGATCCAATTTCATTCTTTTATGTGTGACTTTCCAATTTCTCAATGCCACTTATTAAAGAAATAAGGAAAACTGTTCTTTTGTAGTTACAGCTGCTTTATCATAGACTAGGTGCTGGTATGCACATGGACTTATTTCTGGATTGTCAATTCTATCCCACTGAACCACAAATCTACTTTATGCCAACACCATACTGTCTTCGTACTATAGCTTTATGGTAAAGTTTGAAATCAGGTAATATGATGCTCCATTTCTCTCCTTTTTCCCCTCAGTTACTTTTGCGATTTGAAGCCTTTTGTTGTTCCATATAAGTTTCAATTGTGGAGGTGGTGGTGGTTCAATTTCCTTGAAAAATATTGTTGGCATTTTGATGATGAATGCTTTCACTTTATACAACATTTATGCAAATTTTGAACATATTAATTCTCCCCATTGATGATATGAGCATGAGAAATCCTTCCAGCTCCTTACATCGATATCTGAATCCTTTAATGACATTTGTAATTCTCCTTGTATAGATCTTTTACCTCCTAGCTAGCCTAATTCTGAGGTATTTAATGATTTTTGAAGCCATTACAAATGGAGTAATTTTCTACATTTCTTTGCTCCTTGATTATATATAAAAAGGCTATGGGTTTTTATATTTGGATTTTGTAACCTGCCATTTTGTTGCATTTATTGTTTTTAGTAACATTTTGCTGGGCTTTAGGATTTTCTATACATAATAGGTTATCATTTGTAAACAGTGATAAATATACTTATTTTCCAAGTTAGATCCCCTTTATTTTCTGTTTTTGTCTGACAGCTTTGTCTAAAACCACTACTACTAAGTTAAACAGAGGTGGTGACAATAGGCATCCTTGTCTTATACCTGTAAAAATTAAGTAAAATAAGCATGTTGTTTTCACCAGTGATTTCTACTACTGTCAGAATGTAGAGTAGCAGAATTCAGGGGGTGTCCTTGGTAAAATGATATGTGTCCAGTAAGTGTTACACCTATGAGGGGGGTTATTTAGGATCTGTGGCTTGTAAGGGAATCCCATTAATTCAATTGGAACCACATGCTCACATGGAGTATGTCAATCTCTCATATGCCAGAACTGAACAGGATACTCACATTAGATGGCTTTATGATTTGTTCACAGTTATACCTTCCTATTTTCCATTCATTAAGATGTTCTCTTGAGACATTTCTAAAGGGTGAAGAACTGCTGGTTTCTTCTAGCCTAATCTGAATACTGGGGGGTCAGTACCAGACTTCATTTTAGATTTTCATATGACAAAACAAATCCACAGAACATACACATCTAATTAGCCATGCATTTAATCAAATTAAATGTAATTAATCATACATTTAAGTATGCACTGTCCCTACTTCAGTGAGGTAGCCACATGCAACACATTAAAATAGGGGAGCTGAGTGGTTTTTATAGATCCCTGTCCTTCAACTCCCCAGCTCCATTTAATTACTCTCTCCAGATGCCCCCAGCCACCCAAAGCCAGCACTGAGCCATTAAAGGACACAGACACCATTCCATCACTCAAACGAGAACCCTAGGAGCACGCCTGATTTTCCCCTCCTTCACCAAATTTAATCTATCTGTCTTGTACATTTAATTTCCCAAATCGCTTCTGAATTTATCGCCTCTTCATCATTGTCTCTCTCTTCCTTAATCCAGGCCATGTTATGTCCTTCGTGGAAGAATCCCTTGTGAATCTCCCTCTTTATAATGGTGTTCCTCCTTTCAATGGAGTTAATGGTTTTTCTCAAGTGCAGTTATGATCATGTGATCTCCTGTTAAAAACCCACCTCTTTTTTCTCAAACAGAGCTGTCTTTACTATCTGGGCACTTCTCTGCTTATTTTTGTGTCTGCTTTTGGTTTTCTTCCTAGTATCCTATGTTGTCACTAATCTGATTATTCATTTGTTGATGTGGGTATACCTGAATTGAGTAGAACTAACTGTTGACAATTTTTCTTGGAAAATAAATGAAAAGCCAGATGAAAACAATAGCTTTGATTTTTGCACACAGGAGCATAGAAGGTTTGGGTGAGAGAGCAGAGAGGAACCCTGCGGATGTGTTTTCTTAATTCAGTGCCTTTGTGACGGTATACTGCCTCCTCCTAAAGTTTTCTGAGCTCAAAATTTGTTAAGAATGCTAGAATTAGAATAGAGCATGAGCAAGGCTGATATTATATAAATTTGCTTCATAGAGAAGAACATACTTTGGTTGAGGGAACACAGAACATGGAAACTAGAATGCAGGTATTTGGTCAGAATTGTGTTACTTACCAGAGCAACTCCAGTGGACACTGTGATGAGTGTGAGGGAGAAATTTGGAATTGTATGTAAGATGCACTCCCATATAAATTTGTTAGAAATCCCAGTAATCTTACATGGTGACCCTGATAATGTAATTGGTTCTTATACCCAATTACATTAGAATCCAATCAGTGAGAACTTTCTCAATTAGTAAGAGAATAGGGGTGGGATATCACCAAATTTAGCTTCTTTAATTCCAACAAATATTCATGATCAGTTCTTCCATAAAGTATTGATATTCAAGACACAAATGATATGGACTCTTCTCAGAACTTCTAGCACCTTTACAACTCAGAAATCTAGAAACACTACTTTATTTTCTCCAGAAATTGAGAATGATCTCATTCAATCAATGTAAATTTAACTCTTGTGTTTGGTAATTGCTATGTCAAAAATGGACACATGGTGGTTCGCATAGCTTTTCTTTTTCTGAAAAACAGAACATACCTATATTTCATGGTAAACAATTATTTTTGGGAAGGAA